TATTCTGCTAGGAAGACAAGGTACCTTCTACTTATCACTTGACAAAACCATTATGATGTTCCAAAGCTTTATACTGAAATCTTGATAAATAGTAAAACATAAATAAAATCCCCTTTGAAAAGCAGGAGAATAGCTCCTTGTGTCTTATAGCCAGATTTAGCAGATGCGGGTTTGAATGCAAAACAGTTGTGAAAATAGCCAATGTCAAACTAGTGCAAAATTAAACTTGCGGGGTGTTCTGTTTTCAGTGGCTGTTATTGTTGAAGTGCTCCATTTCAAAAGCATGCATTCCTTCCTACAGAAAAAAAAATCAGATTCCTTAGTTGAAATTAATTAGCATTCAGAAACCAGATAGCATGTTTTTGGGTATTCATGAGATCTCTGTTTGAAAAAATGTTTTTAACTTGTAGAAATGTGTTGCAACACACAGATGGGAAGAAAAAGAAAAAAAATCTCTTTAGCAAGCACTGTGTGTAAAAGGAATATTACATTTTGCACGCTCCTGATTACCCTGTGTAAACAGTTTTTGACATCTGTCTTTATAGTTTTCGAGGAGAGGAAGACTTTGTTAAAAGAACCATTTTTATACAGCAGTCACCATTTCAGTCTTGCTTTACCTGTATTATGAAAGCAGATGGTCTGCATGTCTTTTGAATATTTATAACTATCAAAAACAATCTCTTGCTATTCACCCTTAGGCTTATGAGATGTCAGGACTGTTCTGGTTGAAAAAAAATCATCTTGGGTGTTTACAGAAAGAGGATTACATTAAGCTGAAATGACTATACATTTTCCAGTTTAATATTTGTCCATCAGCTGTTTAATCGTATTTAGATAATTGTGTAAATAAGTTGTTGCAGCCCTTGCCCCTTCCACTGAGCAGGCTTGAAGCTTTAAACACCAATGAATGTGTAGCAAAAAAGCTTGGATTTTTTTCCTAGTTAAACAACCTGAAAGGCCTAAATAAGTTTGGGTTATGACACTTCTTCTGAGGGGAGTGCTTCATTTGCAAAGGAATCCCCAATATCTAATTCAGCCGAGTTGTTTTAGGAAACTGCTCTTTCTCACTGCTAAGCCCATCAGTACGTGTTTGTTATGTGTAAATACTGCAGCCCAACTGCCCCTTCATGAGGCATGAAAACAACCTCATTCTGACCATATAAAAACAATTTTAAGGTTATTTAGGGGAAGTTTTGGGACTGTGGGGGTTAAAAGCTTTTTTGACTGGAAGCTGAGCAATCACTGATAACAGATTTTGCTGTGGTTGGTTGATTTGGCAGAAAAGCATGAACAGTTTTGGTTTAGATGATTGAATTAACCTGATTAACATTGTTTTTGTTGGTTTGCAAAAAGGACAACAGTATACTGTTAGTGGTGATCGAACAATGCTTCACCTGGTCGGAGAACATTGCTGGAGGAAATGTCTATGAAATGTCTCCCTTTAGTACCCGTACCACTGGCTGAGGTGACCAGCCAGCAAGAAACACTCGGGTCCTTCCCCTGCCATGTGGGATGCTCCTTCCCTTAGCTTTTGACACAGAACCAAAGGCGTTTGATACCGCTGTCTTATCAGTTTTTATTTGATGAGCATAGGAGAAGAATCCTGCTTGAGAGGTAATGTCTTTCCCCAATTTATCTAAGGAATTATGGTGCCTGTTTTTCAAATCTCTGATATTTAATAACCCTGAGAGAATGGGATTTGGTTCAAGCTACATGAAACAAACCTCAGCTTGAACTTTGCGACAAATTCTACCCTTACCTCCACACAGTTGTTGGATGCCTAATTATAATTAACTTATTTGGCTAAAAAAAGAGCACTTGCGCTGCAACAGATGGTATCATTCCAGAATAGTGGGATTTCTGTGAAGGTGGCACCATTTCAGACTAGATCTTCTGATTCTCAGAGCAGGACTGAAAGCTCAGTGTCTGGGGGGAGGGACAGAATGAGGCGAGAGAGGGAAATTTGTGATCCTGAAGTCTTGCAACTTGCTTTCAAGGGTAAACTTCTGGGAGATGTGTTAAGACTGAGGAGCTGTGACCAGGTTTTGCCTTCTATCAATTTTCTTGGCGACGTGTGAAAAAGAAATGAGATTGACTGATGAATGTGGAGCGTTTGAATGCGCCTGATATTTGTATGATGCGTTTATATTCGTCATCCTTGTACATGGAAAGTGTCTGTCTCTGTGTCTCACAGATAAGGAATAACTATGTGCAATAGTACCTTAATATGTGATGCAATTACAGCCATTCTTACTTTGATCATTAATAAGCGTAAGACTAGACACTGGGAGCTCCTCATATGTAAAGACCAGGGAAATAAGGAAAATGTCAGTATGCTTATAGTCTAGATGTGTATATCTGAATACCACTAACTCAGAGGGTTTGATACTCCGTTTTAAGTCCTAAGCATAGTATATATATATCTGTATATATATAAACTGCTGCTAAAACATATAGATATTATACAGCAGTAGGAATTATACAGGAATTTCTACAGCAAAGTGCATCTCTTCGCACTGACTTAACAGCAGCTTTGATGACAAGATAATAAATAAAGAATAGAAACAATGAAATTCAATGTTGTCAAGTTATTTTCTGAGTTAACAAGGTAGTAATATTTTATCTGGGTTGTAAAATTTTGCCTTCAGTGAATTAGTAAATAAATCATTGATTCCTTCTGATGAGGATTCTTAGCGTAGGTAATATCACTTGAAAGTTTTGCATGAATGTTCTCAAAGAAAAAGGAGAATAATTCTCATTTTAAAACACAAAGATAATGTCTATGGCTTTTTTTTTTCTTTTTTTTTTTTTTAATCTTCAAAGAAAGTATGGAGTAAAATCCCATTATTAGCCATCATAGTCTCAGATTCTCACTCTGTCAGAGAAAACAAAATTCCTAATAGTGTTGTTTAAACAGACTAGTCCCCTGTTTGATTATAAAATAAATTAACTGCATTAAATTTATTTCTGAAGAAGCAGAGGATGTTAGAGACAACCATTTCATTGTCATATCTTTTTTGGAAAATGACATGGAAGTGAGAAATAGGAAATCTATATCCATTGATAATAGGTAATTTACTAAAATTATTATCAATCTACACTTTTTCACGCTTATCAAAGTTACTTGAGCAGGAGAAGACATCTGAAGTGGTCAAAGTAAAATAAAACTACCTTGAAATCTAAGCGACATCCACAAAATGTGCTTAATCTCATATGGGAAAGTGGCCTATTACGCTTGCAGTTCCCCGTTTTATACAAGCAAATCTACAGGTTTTGCATGTACAGTAATGGTGCATTCATAGAATTTGACATAGAATTCAGATTCACAGGATGTTTTCAGTCACACCTTATGTATTATGGGCCCATGTTTAAAGTGGTATAATCTGTAAAATAGTTTAAATAATAATTTTGTAAGTATTAGACATTAATGATATTGCTATTATGTTGAAAATTGAAATTGGGTTTAACTGAGCTCAGTTCAGGTCATTCAGGCTAAAGTGTATTAAGATTTCAATCTCCTTTTTGCTGCTGTCAAAAGGCTTATAGTTAATTTCAGAAATGGCAGATTAATATCAAGGAATGGTAAGAATTTTAGTGATTCAGAGAAACACTAAAATAGCTGCCTGATGAGTAGAGGGTATCCACATTTGGCATCAGTTATACTGCCTCACTCTAGCAGTTCTGAGACTCCACAAATAGCACGTTACTGAGTATTGTGTTAGAAAACAAATGGTTATAATCAACTTCACTATGATCAATAATTGAGATACTTTTACTTAGAAGCTGAACTAGCCTTGTAAGAGAAGAGTTACAGTAATGTTTATGGCATTTTCTCTCCGAACTACTTCTTCCAGTGGTTGTTGCAGTTTGTGTAACAAAGAGTTCATACTGTACATTGATTTTATGACAGCAGAAATACAGCTAAATGTTACATGCTGAATAGCAAAGAAACATAATAATCAGAGCTTTGTCTTCTTGAATGTCATTGTTTTCTCAATATGCTGGACAATTCTTGTACTTAAGCTAAAAGTAACTACTTTCCTTATAGAAATATGAAGGTTGACAAAGTTCACTCTATTGAAATTACATTTGTTAATTTTGCTGTTCATACATCATATACTGAATGTAATTTTCATGTTGAAGCAGTACCTCATTTGTTAAGGCCTTTTCTTAATTGATTTTGTAAAGGAATGTATGAGAACTGAAAGTTTTAGACATTGTAAATTCCACTGTTTAAAAATTGGTTAAAGCTGTGCAGAAGGCAAATTTCTCACTGTAATTATCTGATATCTTGAGAACCTTTGAGGAAAAAAAGATCTCTGTCATCCTTTCATATATTTTATGGCTAATATCCACTTATGGAATCAGACACAACAACAAGAATTTTTCATTTTTCTGTGAATCATTTGAAATATTGTTTTGCAAAAGCAAGTCCAGAATTGTTTTGGGTTGTGGCATACATATTTTATTCTTCTAGAAAGCATTTTGTTTTACCACCCTGCTAATAACTCATTCAGATAAATTTTGGTCCTGTGATTTTCCAGATTCTATTCTGTGTAACTGTGACAAAGGGAATGGATTTATTGGGGTTACTGCTTGCATTTCTGGAGTTAGTATAGCATCTGTATGCTTGTAAACTTGTGTTGGTATGTGAAACATCAATCAAATTTAAAAGCAGAACTAGAACAAACAAAAGGCATTTTCATGATTAGCATCTTCCATCCTGAGCCCATCCTATGGCCTGATGTTTTTTGGTCGATAACTTTGTTCTTCCTTTAGTACGTCTGCTTTTTTTTTCTTGTTCTCATTTACAATATACCTTGGTTTGTTTTTATATTCAATTAATGAATTTTTTAAAAGCTTTGGACAACAGGATCAGAATGCAATATGATTCTCAAACTATAAAAATGTAATAGTTTCAACAATTGAAATTACTTGTGCTTTGACTTGTACTGCTCTGTATTACAGATTTATTTTTTTCTTCTCCCCTTTTCACACAGAGTATGATTTCTTCCATTGTGAACAGCACTTACTATGCAAATGTCTCAGCAGCAAAATGTCAGGAATTTGGAAGGTGGTATAAACATTTCAAGAAGGCAAAAGATATGATGGGTAAGCAAAAAAAAAAAAAAAAAAATTAAAAATTGCTGTGATGGTGGATACATGCAGTTATGCGTCACATTGAGGTCTGTCACAGTCATACAAGAAGTGAGGTCCCTTTATGATAAGTTTAGGATGCTTTTGATGAGTAGATGTAGAAAGTACATATATAGTGAAAGAATTCATTTAAATAAATATTTGCTATTGAAACAGCCGCACTGAATTGGGTTGCCAGAGATGTAAAGCTGTCATTCTGTAAATCTAGAGATCTTCTACAGCCCAAAATAATTGTTTAAAAACCTGTTCCTGGAACTGTAATGTGCTGAATTTTTCTAATGTATGTATTTTTTTTCTTGCTCTGGTTAATGTATGTGTAAAGAAGAAGGTTTCTGTAACTACCACTGCATTCCAAGAAGAATGCTGTAATTTTATGAATTTAGGACCCATTTCAATTCATTTTAGCAAATAGTTGTGACAATTGTTTGCTTGGTTTACTAAACTTGAGTGAATTACTGGAGAAGAAAATCCACCGCTGAGGCATATTAACTCCATAGTACCTTTTATCTTCCTGTATTGTCCATTTTTAAAACTATTTCTTAAACCTGTTAACATAATTTTGAACACTTTATGTTAGAAAATTTCTGCATAACTTTCAGTAAATGAAGAAATGGGACCTCAATTTGGACCAGATTTTGAGATTGACTCAGCTTTTAGTATTTGAAGCAAAATCATTCATCTACCAAAATGGGTTCCTCGCCTTTTATAGCTTAAGGCTGTAATGAAGACCATGAATCACTTTTGTGATAATTGCTTGAATTACTGTTCCAAGAGAATGGCCCACATGGGTTTATCTCTACTTTCTGCTGGTGAGAACAGGTGGCTTCTTTCCTTCACCTAGTTTGTATATTCTGTGCAACACTTGGCAGTACTAAGGGTTTATGGTGGTGCAACTGCATGTGATTTCAGATGGTCCTGCATGGAAGGAGACCTTTCCACAGCATGTCCTTCCATCTCCATTGTAGGAGTAGTTCTGCTGTGGAGCCCACGAACGTGGGGCATACCCAGCAAAATGCTCCTTACCTGGCCTGTCAAAACAGTTTCATAGTCCCTTCATTTGAGGACATTGAAATCAGCACATAGGAAAAGATGTGTTTGTACATTCCTACATAGGACAGCAGAGGATGAAGGGCTGTGAATGCGAGTTCAAGTGCTGATCTCTTCTTCCAGTTATTATTCTCATGGAGAAAGGGGTTATCTTTTCTGAATACCTATTGGTAGAGATTGTAATCACTATAAAAAGCACACATATTGCCTATTCTTGTTAAATAGATTTTACTAGTATAAGAAAAAATAGCTACAACACTTCCATGAAGATACTAGATTTTTTAAAATAAACTGTGTTTTCTTAAAGCTATTTTCAGACCAGCATTGCTAAATCTTTGGAATTGACATATACTGGTAAAAATGTGACTCATTTACATTAACCTAGAGTTATTCTATATCTTCTTATCATGCACAAGAGGCAAACTGGGAGAACTCTTGAAGTTTAAAAAACTGTGTTGTTAATTAAAAAGGAGGGCGTGTCAAGGCAGATGAGTTAATATAAGGAAAAAAAATCAACCATGTTGCAAGTCACTGAAAAAAAACATGCATACATGGTTGCAAGATAAAGCAGCCCATCTGTGTAATTTACATAAATTATACTAGTTCCTAGCAGTCCCATACAGTTGATGCAGCATCTAGAAATTAGCAGAGCATAGGGAGGTCCACACCCCACCCTGCTTGTTACAGATTTCCTGTGTCTGGGAGCTGCAGATGTGGGAGCAGGGACCCTACAGGAGTAACACAGTCAATGGGGCTTCTCCCTGGGCTGGATGGGCTTTCCAGTAACAGCCCTCTTTACTCCTGGCACAGTCACTATTTTGTTTGCATCTTCTGCAGCATACAGAGAAGTTTCCTGTATTTGCCCTCCTCCGGGTTGTTTGCTGCCATGTCTGAAGCACCCTACATCAATCACTATGGGAATGCCCTCTGCAGCCACCAACTCATGGTTTGGTTAGCAATTGGTGCATTGCATATTTGCAGAGCTCTCTGGCAGTGATTTCTTTGCCACATGCGTGTTTTCAAACACGTTGTTTTGGTCTGATGTTCTGCTTGTACCTTCAAAGACTCAGTGTCAATGATGGACAGTTAGTTGTACTGTGCGTTTATTTTTCTTTTTAAGATCCACTACACCATTTTTTTTAGATTAATTTTGAAGGCAAATATCAGGAACAGTGTTGTAATGGACCTGCCAGTCTAGGCTGGAGAATACTGTAAGCTCAACCCTGAATATGCTATTTTATCCTTATTTACTTTTGTTAGCACATCTTGCAAGGAGCATGAAATTTGTGATATTCAGTCTTATGTTGGCTTTCTCAATGTTTCTTTTCCATCATAGTTGAGATGGATAGCCTTTCTGAGCTATCCCAGCAAGGTGCCAACCATGTCAACTTCGGTCAGCAGCCGGTCCCAGGGAACACAGCCGAACAGCCTCCATCCCCTGTTCAGCTTTCTCATGGTAGTCAACCATCAGTTCGGACCCCACTTCCAAACCTGCACCCTGGACTTGTATCTACTCCCATTAGCCCTCAGCTGGTAAATCAGCAGCTGGTAATGGCCCAGTTGCTGAACCAGCAGTATGCAGTGAACAGACTTCTAGCCCAGCAGTCCTTAAACCAACAGTACTTGAACCACCCTCCTCCTGTCAGTAGATCCATGAACAAGCCGTTGGAGCAGCAGGTCTCAACAAACACAGAGGTGTCTTCCGAAATCTACCAGTGGGTCCGTGATGAACTGAAACGAGCAGGAATTTCACAGGCAGTATTTGCACGTGTGGCTTTTAACCGAACTCAGGTCAGTATCTTTTTTTCTTATTCTTTTAAATCTAGGAGAACCCTTCTTTCCCTCTCTCTCTCTTTCTCTCTTTCTCTCCTTATTAATGCATATATTTAGTAACTATCACCTTTTAAGTATCTGTCCTCACTTCTGTTTTGCCACTTAGCTCCTGTCAAGGAACCGCACATCCTTGCAGGACCAGTGTCCATGTTGATTTAGTACAGAAATCCAGAGTGATAGGCTTGTGGAAATACAAGCTGTGGGAATACACACTGTTTTTAGAGATGTCTTGGTTCCTCTCCATCTTCCCTGGAAAGGAAATGAACAGCTCTTTGCAGAATCATACAAAGTCATCCAACAGATTGCTTTTGTGTTGTGAAGTTATGCCAGTACTGACCACATTCATGTACTGAAAAACCATCTTCTCTCCCAGGTATCTCCCCGAGATAGTTTCTTATTCTAGTTTGCATTTATTTCTGTCATTTTTTTGGTGAAAGCCTTCATAATGTGACTCCTAGGAACTTTCTGAAAAGACTTAATTAAAAAAAAATAAAAGCTTTATTTTTAGTTCCTCTGTTCTTTCATGCGTTTTTGCAGTTTGTAGTTTCTGAGATTGCCAGTGTCCACGTCAGAGCATATACTTCAGCTCATCAGTGCAGAAAAAATTAGCCCTAGCAAAGCTGATAAGCAACACTAAAATGTGTTATTTTTTACACCTGTTTTAGAAGCTAACCCTGTTATAATTTATTCTACTCTATGAATTTAACTTAATGCCATGTTGCGTGGAATTTAATCAAGCAGAAGTTATGGAAGAAATGTCAGTATACTCAGAGCAACTAATAAGATCTTAAATTTTTTTAAGTCTGTTTTTTAACAGAAAATAAAATAGAATTTCTTTATAAGAAATATATATTTTTCTAAATGTACATAAGTTTGCTTTGGATTCCACATTTTTAAACTTAGGGCTTGAGTATTTGCTCATTATTGAGTATATTAAAAATATATAATTTGCGATTCTTTTGAAATGTTGATGTTTCTCACTTGGAGAATAAAAACTGTTTCATATGCACTAGTACCAGATTTGAATCAGCATGTCATTTGTAATCATTTTGAGAAAGATTATTGCCTCAATTTTTTTTACATCCTCCTTCAGCTGAAAGAAACAAAGTCATAGGGTGAATTATCTGTAGAGCTGTGTGTGTGTGTCCATGTGTCTTTCCTCTTAACTACAGAGGAGGTTTTCAGGACCAGATTTCATGGAACACATGAACTCGTGCAACTTATCTAGGTTGGGTTCAGACAGCGTCAGTTACTGTATCTAAAAATAAGTAACAGAGATTTCTTTAATGCAGCATGTAATATTTTATCTATTGATACTGCAAGGTATTGAAATACTAATAGTTGTTTCAAGTTATTGTGGCTTACAGCTGCCATCTCACCTGAGCAAAAAGCCAAGCGAATAATTGGGAAAATAAATAATTTATTGTTTACTTCTTTCTCAGACTTGCCTAAAAGCAGTTTATTTTGTCCCAACTCCCCCTTCCAAAGCCATTTGCTCAGTTTTTGTCAGATCATTTTTCATATTGTTTTTGGTTTATCGTTCATAAACAGTATTGTTATGTAAAGTACAAGAACAATTGGTTCTGACTGGACCTTGAATTTATATGACATTACAAAGATGCCTTACAAAGATGCTCTAGAGATGGGAGGAATGCATCAGAAGAGCCAGATTTCTAGTGAAAATACTGATTTCCAATTATTAGACATTTTTCTTACTAACAATGTTATTCTTAGTAACAACATTTTCTTAAAGTTTTATTCTTCCACAGACATTGTAACCAGCTTGGTAAAAATATACTCAAAATGACCCAAAACTAGGAGGAAATTCAAACATGAACATTGAAAAAAAATCCAGTGAAAAGAACAAAAGATATGAAATATATATATATGTAATATATTTTGGCAATATTCAACCAAATAAACTTGAAAGAACACAGAGTAGTATCCCCATATCCTACAAATTGTGTTAGCTAATCAAATTAGTATTTGCAGCTAGCTACGTAACTATCTGTAGTATTTACTATTTATTGTGGCCAACAAAGGGAATAGAAAGGAAAAATACTAGGAGCCAAGGCAATATTGGCCTCAGTATTGTGAAGAAATAAGTTATACTTTTCACATGCGAGCGAAGCCTCACTGAAACACAGAGGAGTTTGCTATAGGCACATTTCATCTTTGCAAAACTGAAAGTTGTCATTGTACCCTTAGTAACAGTTGTGTAAGTACAAGTATATGTACCTGTGTTTTTTACATAAAAACATTTAAATTTGTTCTGGTTGCTGTGCTTCAGAATTTGTCACACTTTATTCAAGGATTCATCACATCTAACTAAAATTTAGGCAACATTTATTAACTCCTGCTATTTAGAAGTTATTTTTCTAATATTTATATAATATCTTTTTTTTTTTTGCTAGAGCAAGTGAAAATTCATGTTTAAATTAATCTGTATTCGAAGAGAAAAAGCTAACTCAAAATACCACTGACGTTTTTTATATTGCCATAAGCATATTTGAGCCATGTCCAGGAACTGTATCGTTGGTTGTTGAAGGCAGAAGACCTTAGGAGTTCTGCACAAACAAAAGTAGTAAAAAAAAGTGATGTCTAGATATGTTCTCAAATGAGTAGAAAGATTTGCTTTCAGTGTAAAAGCTACTGAAGGAAGTCAATTATAAATTCAGAGTAAATTAGCTTAGTGTTTTGGCATTAAAAATGGACTTCATTTGAATTGGCTGAAGATGCTGGTGTACCACTTGTTTTACACACTTGTGCTTGACAGTACAACTACAGAAATTCTGATTTTTGGAGTCATGGGGGGGAGGGAGTTTTACCAACTTAGCATCATAATTCAACATTTGGTCAACGTTTTCCAGATTTTTTTATTTATGGGGGAAAATGTTACCTAGAAATATTTCTGCTTGTGCCCAGCCTAAAGGAAAGAATTAGATTAAATTACCTCTGATTGTTTTTTAATGATCATCTATTTATATGGCGAAAAAAGCTCAGCCACACCTAAGGAAATTGAAAGGGCATTCTTAATCTCTTCTTGGATAATTTTCCCCCTGCCCTTACTTTCAACATGGAAGTTTCAAAACTGTGCAGTTCTCAGGAATGTTCCTTGCAAGTTTAATCAAAGGGAAGTGCAGAAATCTGTGACTTGCAAGCACCGTACATGCACAATGGCACAATTGTAGGGAGCAGAAGTAGCTTTGGAGGCTGGAGCACCTCTCCCTGCAAGAAATCCCACAGCAGTCCTGCTAGGAAGGCTTCAGTGCACAGTGGGCTCTGAAGTTTTATTTGTCCTTCAGCAGTTGCTATTCCGGCTCACTGATTGCAAAGAAACAGACTGAATCCTGTTAGTGCCCCTTTGTAGTACCCTATGGAAAAGTTTGTTGAGTCAGGATCTGTGCAGGCAGACCCAAGTTTTGCTTCAACCTTGACTACCAAATGTGTTCACCAGTCTCTCTATTTGCTAGGGTGATTTTGATAAACTGAGCTGCAAATTCAGTCAGTTTCAGTAAGTTATATTTCAGTTAACATTCAGCAGAATTAATAGATTTAGTATATTTCCCATGCGATGGCAATGCACTGCATGGCTCAGCTTTTTCCCAGGCTCTTTGCTGGCAGAACTGGCATTTGTGGTCAGCCTGCTGGTCCGGGTGGCACTTGGCAGAAGGCATCAACTGGTAGTGTTGTGTGCCAGCCTCCCTGCAGAACACTGGCTCAGGCTGCCATGGTTTCCATTAAAGTGGGGGCTCTTCACTATGCTTGAGTCTTCTTACAAGAGCTGGAGAGGAACATCAGCATTTGTTTCTCCAAACCACCTCCAGAATCCCATACAAGTAAACAAACTCCTCTCCCATATCTGCAGAGCATTTGTAAATTCAAATATGAGCCAGGGAGTGAAAAGCCTTGGTTCCCACCAGTGTGTGTGGCATTTGACTTGGAGGCATAACTTAAACTGGTGCACAGCAGGGTGACATCTCTGTGCTATGCCAGTGAGGAGCTGTTAGTCATGGTTGTGGTTGGAACTGTAACTCTGAGTTGCCTGTCTTTGTTTGTGTACGGCTTCGACCATAACATTTGCTGCATGAGTTCAGGTTCTGCTGTACAGAGGTGAGTGACCTCCATCTCCAGCTTGGTGAAAAGTGGAGGAGTGCTTTCTGCCACTTTTGCCATGTCTGACTATTGTAATTTTTCCTCTTCCCACAAGTGACAGTTTTTCATATCAAGGTTTTTTGAGTCCTTCTCAGTGTTTCTGCCAGATACCTTTCTCTCCTCCTCCTTTTTCCTTCACCCCCATACTTGTTTAAAATATTAGCTGCCAGGATATATTGCATTTTGTTAATAGATAATGCCTCTTCTCCTATGTAAAAGCTTCTGTGTATTTAAAACTGTGCCCATACTAATTCTGGGCAACAGCTATTTCAAGGGAGAACACTTGGATGCAGTAAATGGCTCCATGTAATTTTAAAACAACATCCAAGTTTACACCAACCACCTTCTCAGGCACTTTTTTTTCTTCCACTTTGTCTTTGGCACACTTTATTTTCCAGTAAAATGAAAAATGAAGATGGATTATTCAAAATTGATAACAGTAATGGACCATCATGTAATGTTTTATTGAATTTGAGTTCTGTAAATTATGTGGTAGAGAGAAATTTGCCTGCTTAAGTATAACAGAAATTGCCACTGTATTCATATAATTCTTCGTACTGTAATTTAAGAAAAAGCACACTATCCATATCACTATTGAATAAAAGGTAAAAAGGTGCTATTACACTATCATGACAGCTCTCCTCTTGCTACTAAGCGACATAGATAAATGTGTCTGCTTATAACTTATTTGGCAGAGATCCAGGCTTGTGGGTGGAGCCTGCAAATAATCCTCCACCTGGACATGGGTCTTAAGCACCCTGCAATGAAGGCAGATAGCGTTCGAGGATGTTCTACATATTTTGGGGAGGATTTTTGGCAAATTGCATTTTTCTTCTGGAGCTTTGAAGTTCTATGAGGCTGATAAAATCTATTTGAATCAGTGATTATGTTCAAAGTGGAGACAAACTGGGGGCCAGACAGGCAGTGTTTTTGTTCATATTGGCAGACACTTTCGTTTATCTCCACTTTTAAAGAATTCATAATTAGCTTTTGAAAGCACTGATAATATTTATTGAACATTTTTGTGCAATTAGTAATGAATTATACTTGTGATAACGTGTAAACTTTCTTTTTTCAATGGCTCCTGGTAGCATCTTAAGAAAATACATTTCCAGTGTGAGAGAATAACAGGGAGGAAGAGTGAAGAGGACTCTGCCTCTGACTTTTCCTATAACCTCTGGGCCACGTAGCATTGGCTTATTATGCAACCTGAGATTCAGTATCAGGAGACGACACCAAGACTTGCAGCTTAGCAAACTGTTTCAAGCCTTGTAGAATGAATGGCAAGATATGAGGGTATTCTTTCTAGGATCTTCCCATTTTGATTCTTGTCTAACTTTCTCTGGGTGAATTTTGATGCTCAAAAAGTTGAAGCAGTAGGAACAAAATAATATTTGGAGAAGGCATACTGTATTGTAAGACATTCCCCATGCCTTGTACTACACCATTATCTTCTGTTATTTGCACGAATATTCTGACTTTTAGGTTCAAATGCCCTCAAAGTAAACACCTCCTTACTCCTTCTTCCCATGCTATCATCTACCCTCTTCTCTCCACATCTGTGTCCTCTGCTGTGCTCCCAACTCATGCAAAGACTCACACCAGTGGTAGGGAAAAGCGAGGGGAATGAGGACTTAATGCCATTTCTAATCACCAGGAGATGTCTTGCAGGTATTGTTGTAATGACAAATGCAGGAAAAACTGAAAGCAAAACAAAAACAACAGGAAAACTTGCTTTGTTTATTTCACTACAGAGCAAAAAATTATTGAAGAAAAAAAAAAAAAGCCTTTTTCTGCCTTTTTTTCTTTAACTGCCTACTATGTGGCAAAGACCTATTCCAGTAATTCTTTTCTAGTATGTGCTAAAGCATTTTTCAAGGACATCTTCTGTGGTTGACTGTTGGTAAGGATTCTTCTCTCCTACCAGTGCAGGAGATCCTGCCAGTGCAGGATCAGTCCACTTGAGTTTAGCTTTCCTTTCTTCATTTTAATCCAGTTGTTCTCAGCACAGTAGCAGTCAGAAATCACACATTTTTACACCTCAGTCATACATCTTGTGCTCTGCAGACAGCTTTGTCTTCTCTCCAGTGGCACAGAATCATTTTTGATGCTCTTTGGAGGATGGGTAGTGTAACCCTACCACTGACAAATATGACAACAGTGTGTTTTGAGTATTTAGAAGTACATAAACCATGTAGATGAGAATTTAACTTCCACATTTTGTAATAAGTTTATTGTTGAGACTAATCACTAAGAAAATTTTCAAACTTAGTATAAGTTTTAACCCAAATGATGCTTTTGTCTGTAACTCACTTATTTACCTCCTAAATAGTTTCTGCCTGGACACCAGAAAAGAGGAGGGATGAAGAATAGTGGTAAGAAAGCATTCACCAGCTTTTTATTTTTTAAAAAAATCCTCCTCCAAATTATTTTCCAGGCTCAGTGCTGGGAAGGCAGTTTGTGTTTTCCATCCCACCTTCCTTCTGTTTGTGCAGACCCATATGGAGTCTTGAGGACCAGGCTGGCCCCAACATTGTGTTTAACACCTTTATCCTCATTGCCTTGGGAGGCAGAAGAGTGATGTGGAAATGCAGAGCTCAGAATTGTGCTGGGTGCGTGCTGAGCTGCCTGAGCATGGCTGCCTGGGAGCATTGACTTTGCAGCAGCACCTCCATATGGGGCTTTTGCCTGATAAGAAAGGACTTTTTGGGATAGACAACAGCTTCCCTAGGTGCTGTGAGCATAAGAACTCCCTAGAGAAGGCAGGAGCTGATGTTTGGGCCATAGCTTTCTGTAGGAATGGATATCTTCAGTCAGAATTGTTTCTCTTAGTCTTACTGCTTCTTCCGAGTTAAAGCAGAACCCTCTCCACCTCCTTAAATGCAACATCTCTTTAGGAAAAGGACCACTGGGTTGTGTTCTTTAATACCACATTCATGTTCCCTTGTTACACTCACAGTAGAAGCCTCTCCTTGTCCCAGCATGGTAATAGCATTTATTTTCAAAAGAAACTCATGTTTGCTTTTGCAAAAATTAACAGTTTTCTTACTGCAAACCTTGTTACTTCAAGACAGCAGAGCATTTTGTACGCCTGACGTATTTAAAAGGAGAACTTGGCAGGGGGGAGACTTTAAGAACCTGTTGATGTTAAACTTCTAGTTGCATTCACAGGTTCATAAATATTTCATCTATTAGAGTAATTAGGTCTCTCAGACCTGCTCCATTGCTGAGACGTGAGATGTAGTGATTATGTAGGGAACCTGGCGTGATTTGTATGAGATGGCAGCCTGCTGTCATCTGCAGCCTGCTGCATGTGCCCTGGGTGCTGGCTTTCTTTCATTCCTAATGTTCTCTTTGGTGTATCCTTGTTGGGCTTTCACAAGGACAATGCTAATAAAAGGACTGGATGAGGGACCTACACAGCACATGCCCACGTGAAGCCCAGGCAATGGACTGGGTAAGAATTAGTGTAGTCCTGATGTGGGAATGGAGATGGTGGGAGGAGAGGGACAAACCTCTCTCTTTCTTTGACAAAGCAGAGGAAGCATTCCTTCAGAGGCCAGTGGTCAGTTTTGTCACCTGTTATTAAACTCTGATATAAAACTTTCACATCTAAGTACTGCCTTATTAAAAATATGGATCTGGATCCATTAAGAAGTACTTAAAGAACATTATGAGTATATTATTATTTCAAATTAGCTGTAAGATATCACTTCTTTCAAAGAGCTGTTTAAGCTGCTAGTAACAAGGAAAGCCATTTCTTGAGGTTTGCTGTGTGCTTTGTTTGGGAAGCCTGAGAACCTTATCATGCCTCTGGACTATGTGTGTTTCATTTACTCTTAACTTCTTGTGATTGTCTGGCAACTGTGAAAGATTTCATGGCAAGTTAAGCCAGTAAAAGGAAGGAGACCCATTAGGCAGATTCAGTTTGTGTTGTATGTAAAACAGATGCTTAATAAAATTAAGAGCACAATTGAGGCTCTCTTCTCTGTTACCTAAATTGCCATTAATATATTCCTGTGTGGAGCTAATAGTCTGTTTGGCTGTTCTCATTCCAAGCCCAGTGGAAGGAGGACTGATGAGCATCGGCTGTGCAGGGGACAATTGTACCAGGCTAACTGTCCAGCATTTTTTCTCTTCCCCCTCCCTACAGGGCTTGCTCTCAGAAATCCTCCGAAAGGAAGAGGATCCCAAGACTGCCTCGCAGTCCTTGCTCGTAAACCTTCGGGCTATGCAGAACTTCTTGCAGCTGCCAGAAGCTGAACGAGATCGAATTTACCAGGATGAAAGGGAAAGGAGTTTGAACGCAGCCTCTGCCATGGGCCCCGCACCTCTCATAAGCACACCGCCCAGCCGGCCTCCACAAGTAAACTGCTCTCTCTGTCTTTTGCATTTGCTTGTTGTGCTTTCTTCATGTCCTGCAGGGTGATGCCTTTCTTCAAAAGAGGAAAGATTTTGCAGTCGTGTTCTTTAAACGCTCACAGAATCGTTATTTGCAGTGCATGTCACAAATTAAATTTAAGAAATGTAATGGATGATAGTAGCAGTTCATTACTAGCTATTTTCTAGTTTTAAGATAAACTCTATCCATTATGGCCCCCACAGAGTTTTTTGCTCTTTCTATTGAGACACAAGCTTTATTTGGTCTAGGATCACACTGTCTTTTATTCTCTTTATTTTTTTTTCCCTGTAATTCTCAGGTGTTGTTTTAATGTTAGAGTTTTAAACAGGAATTTTGAAGTATTTAGACCACTAAACTGAGTGGGAATGAAAGCAGAAATATGAGCACATTGTATTGCCTTTAGAATTACATTCCAGAAAACAAATAGGTTGAACCAAATGTCTAGGAGATAAGACTCCCTCCCAAAATGCTGGGGGCACCTTCATCAGATCAAGCTGTTGACAACTGGGTAACAAAACAGTCTTGCATGATCCATTGCTCTGAAAGTTTGGCATATGTGCACTATAGCTTCATTTAGTTTGTGTTCAGATGAAACTCCTATTGATTTCTGTAAAATCTGGTGCGACTTCTTTAATTCTCCCAAAATGAGAAAGTCTGTCAGAATTAATTACATAAATTCAGTGGTGCAGTCCTTGTGTCTGTCAAGCAAACTCTTGATGCTGGTTTTAGGGGGCATGAGAAATTGAGAAATGCAATTGTGAAACACTCAAAAAAAAAAAAAAAAAAAAAGAGTACCTTTTCTGAAATACCTGGCATTGCTTTAGCTAAAGGTTGTACCTTTACAAGAACAAAACAGATCTGATCTGGAGATATGTGGGAATGATGCTTTGCTAGGTTTGCCATACAAAGCAAGGCTTGAGAATTTTGGAGGTTTTGTGATGTTTGAGTGTATAAACACAGATCAGTTTTTTTTTAACTAAACAGGCTCAAGCATATGCCTACAACTATATTCTATATTTATTCTGAATGCTACAAATTCCTACAGATTATTTACCTGATTTCTAATGGATGCCAAGGATCATGCAAAAGTAATGAATGATGAGGACATAGGAAAAGGGAGGACAGAAGATCACTTTGACCTGCTATAGTGCTTTTCACAAGAAAAGAAAAAATATTAACAGAAAGAACAGACTGTGCTAATGGTCTAGTTTTGTTATCATTGACTGAGTTTAGTCTGTAAAATCCACTAAAGATACCCTTCAAGATAAAGTAGGAGAGTCTATTTACATAGCAATGCTTTAGCAGGAAATAGTTAAATATAGATAACTGTGTTCAAAACAACTTTTGAGTTTGGATTAATATCTGTACATACTCCCACAGCCCAGGTAATTCAGAGCAAAGGCTAACCCTCCTTCTTAACTTATCTCTTTCTACCAAGGTAATGTCTCACTTTGTCTCAAGTGGTCTTGGGCAATTTCACAGCTAAACAACAGAGTTAATTGCAGGACCTTCCAGAACGATGTCGAGTCAGAGGTAGTCCTTGTATCGGTTTTAATTCACACTTTAAATTGTATAAATTTGCAGATTTGCAGCCTGAAAGAGAGACTTAGGGTTGTTTGTACTTTTACTGACAAGACATAAAGTCCTTTTTTTTTTCTTCTTCTTTTTTACTGTGTACTTGTTTACATTTGCATGCCATTTTTTTTTTAGTGGCATTCAGGAGTATTGTTAGTCTAATCACGACAGTTAAAAGTAGAAACTGCATACAGTTTTGTTTGGATCCTTTTTAAAAGGAAAACAGGTTAACAAGGAATCCTTATAGACTAATACTTGAGAAGTATAGAACAAAACAAGCATTTTTCTAACTACTGTATTGTTTTTTTGTCATTCAGCAAAATGTGAGCACTTTATCTCCTAGGCGGATGAGGGATGTGGAAACATCAAAGTCTGGGTGCTGCACAACTTTTAACATGTTGCCAGAATTATCCACTTATAAACACATGTAGCACTTGCCAGCTGCTAGGAAGAGTTTTGAACCCTGGGTTTGAATATTTAAATATCCAATTTAGTAGAGTAAGTACAAGACTTAATGCTAGAAGTAATAATGAAATTATTCTAATAATTGCCCTAGAAAATATAATTTTACAAATTGTAGCAGAAATAGGAGTCAGGATTCTGCAAAGTTATTAATGCAAGCTAGTTCTCTGATTGCTGCTTACCTCTAACCCACCCCAAGAAAACTGACCACAGTTTATTGAGCATTTGATATTAAAGAAATAAAACTACCAACATGATTATTACTAAAATTATTATGAGCAATTATTTAACATTCACTGCATAGAAATGCAGCATAATATTTTTCTAGCTTAGCTGTGAACTACTTGGATAGCTGTTGAAAGACAAAACAGACCATTTATCCTGACAACAGAATTTAGGCAACAGCCAGCATATTTAATATTAAGTCTTTAGACCAGTGTAACATTTGAAACAATTAAACTATGAAACCATGAAAAATGGAAGCTAATATGCCACACATGAAGGTTTATTTTGCAATTGCAAGTTATCAGTTTCAGAAGGATGTGAAAATAAACATCCTGAAAAGAATCTATTTTGCATTTTTGTGTTGCCAACTGGTGGCCAGACAGTAGAGCAGATTTAACCATTTAGCAGCTGGGCTTGTTCTGTGTGAATTTTACATACTGTTACATGCAAAAACAGAAAGCGTGACCTTGGAGGTCTGATAGGATAGTAGGAACTCACCAAGCAGAAACCCTGGTGGCTGAGTTAGAAGGAACTGCACTGAATTTATCTCATTTTTACAGCATTCTTACTAGTTGCTACTTGAGCTAATGTATCTGGATTGTTTCCAATTCTTTTTGGAAATCCTTTAAGAAGCTCTTTGTCCCCTTTACTTTTCCCTTTCTCCCTGACTTAAACAAAAAAGCAAAATCTTACTAATTTTTTTTTAATTGAAATCATTAGCCTCTAATGCGTGAGCTTTCAGAACTGTGTTTAGCCCTCTGTGCTGGTCAAGTTGTTACAGCTGTTACTATCTTACTTGATGGTGGGCTGAGTACAAAGAGACGAAGTGCACAAGAATTTTCTCTTGGATGTTATTCACCTTACCACCTCCTGGGGCAGAATCTTGTCTGTCAGGCTCTTTCCCGGGGCAGTGAAAAGTATAAACATTCGCATCTCCATCAGGTAGGTACTGCAGGGCGATCTAATCCAACCTCTCCAACCCCCCACACCCCCTTCCCCGCCACACACCGAAAAAAAAAAAAAAAAAATCCTTTCTTTTTTTTAAAATTTCTTTATTCATACACTTTTTCCCCTCTTCAACACCTGCCTTGAGGGTGAATAGAGTTCCCCGGGTTGATGCTAGGGATGGCTCCTAGCATACCAGCAGATTCTTCCTTCTCCTCAACTTGGAGAAAGGATGGAGACAGGTGACCAAGTGACAGATTTGTTTTCTTTTATATGCTGATAGCTGTCCTACAGTTATGCACACTTCTTTCTCAGAACAAGTGACCTCAGTTTCAGAAGTGCTGAGGAAGAAACTATTTTTCCCCACCCATATTGCCCAAAGAAAAACTGCTGACTTTTGAGGTCCATCATGACCCTCTGTAAAAACAGAATATGTATAAAGTCAAGAGCAGAATACAATTTTAGCAAGCCAACTTCTTAAGAAACATCCACAAATCTTGCATGAGTTACAGTTTTGGCTGCTCAGTTTATAAAAATTTTGATTTTCATATTCTCCTGGCTTCTGACCACAAATACATATTAGAGTTTTTTCATGATAAAGCAGTTTCAGATTGCATCCCAGAGAAAGGATGTCATTCTTAAAGACTGGTACTGAGGAGGACACTGCTTTTTTGGGGCTTGAAGACCAGTGAACTTGCACACTTGTATTTCCAGGAACTGCAGATAATGCCTGCGTCACGCAATTTCACGTTAGAGCCCTGGACTTCACACATCATCCATCACCACCAGCAAAATTTTAATTTTTAAATTTGAGACTTAGTTTGGTAGTCCTTGTGCCAAGTTGCACTTTAATGAAACTCAAAATGAACAAAATAATAAATGCAACCCTCTCCTTCCCCCGTGAAAACCACCATGGAGGAGAGTTAATGGAAACACTGACACTTAACTATAACTGCACTTCCAGGCGCCGCAGTAATAATGGAGTAGTAAACCTTGTCCTGATAAAAGCTGTTCTGAAAGCAACAGCATTTATTGTACCTCCTGTGCTATTTGCAGAGTAGAACTGAAAAGTAGTTTGTTTTGCCTGGAATGAACTACTTTATGAATTTTAATGTACGATGTAATATTAAAAGCTAAACCAGGATTAAAGAAGATTTTTGTTCCCAAGCTAAAACAGTACTTATGAGAATGTGTTGTAAAAGATTTTTTTTTTGTTTTAGTTTTGATGAGGAAGAAATGAACTTCCATGTTTGTGAAAACCACTTCAGATTGGTTATTCCTTCTCCAATAGCCTCTACTTTGTTAAGGAAAATGAAATGAATACTGAATTTTTTTGCCACTGTACTTGGCTTTATTTGATGAGAAGATATCTATCTAGGCAGACCAGGAGGGGACGGATGTGTTATTTTTTTTCCAGCTATTTTTAAATGATTAAATTGATTGGTGATAGGGAGATGGCCATCTGAGTTTCTGATTCTCAGAATGTTACGCTTATAAAATAATGCTCCCTTGTTCAGTTAGTATTTGCAAAATTTGATTACTATTAAAAAAAAAAAAAAAATAGCTAATCTACGATTTGTTTCCTAAACAGAAAATGTGGCTATATGTGTGGGTGGAGTGAGAGGTTGTGTTTAAGCATAGATAAGATGGGAGATTATGCTTTGTTTTGTTTTTCTATCCAAAATGAATACTTTTTCTACCTTCCCTCACAAGTCCTAAGGTTTGCATATTGAGGGCTTTTTGTTTCTCAGTGTTTCTTTCTCCCTTCCCTTCCCTTCCCTTCCCTTCCCTTCCCTTCCCTTCCCTTCCCTTCCCTTCCCTTCCCCTCTTTTTTTCTTTCTCTTTTTCTTTTTGAGGAGGAGGAGGAGGATGTTTTTTCAAGTCAGCTTCAAGCAGCCTCTAGCTTGAACTCAATTCTAAATTCAACACAGCAGGCTAGATGCTTGCTATGTATAAATTATGAAACAGTTTTATGTATGGATATTCTCCAAGAGGTTAATTAGCATTATTGCATGGAATTCATCAGACCAGAGCAGACCAATGGTCCATCTAGTCCAGTCGCAGTCTATACCTGATCTTTAAAGAGAAACTGTTAAGAAGCAGGGGAAGAATTTTTATACTTGGCCAGTGATGTAAAGTGGAGAGGGAAGGAATATGGCTGTGAACTACAACTACAACTCTCGATAATCCCCAGGCCTACCATTTTATAAATTTAAGACTTTCATTCTCCTGAAGATATGTGGGCTAATATGGCATTTTGATGCAGATATTAGTGTTTTCCGTTGTTCATTTTCCAATTCAATATCAGCAAAAGGCAATAGGGCAATATGAGCCTTTTTTTTTTTTTTTTAACTTCAGTGACACATTAGATGCCATTGAGTTTATTGTCTTGTGTAAAAATAGATGTGATTTGTCAACCAGAATGAGGATTTTCAATAGTTCTCTTAGGTTAAAAGCATATCCATACTAAATTGCACGTGGAAAAGTGTAGACCAAGAGTCACGATATAAATTGTCTCCAATGAGGTGTATGAGTTCTGGTTTTTAATGATCTGGCTGTTCACTCTACAGCTCATTTCAGCGTTGTATGAAGTACTACTACAACATGAAGCTGTCTTTTGAAGCTGAGTGGTAATCAAAAAGCCGACGTGCTTACAGAAAAGACATTTTGATTAGGATCACAAGAGCAAATAGCTTTCTTCCCAAAATATGCCATGGCATTATACATCCTAGGACAGTACTTTTCATCCTTTTATCTTTCCCTGTGGACCTTACAAGATTAGTTACAAGTATTTCTTTTGGAAGGATAACTTCACCAAAATTTAAATCGTTGGTCCAAGAAGATGAGTTAACAAAGCCATCACTTTTCATTTTCTAATTAATTTAGCATGATTTTTACATGTTTGCAGTGACTGCTGTCTCCAGTAGTAAACTTCATGTTCCTATTGGTCATCAGTTATCTTTTAGTGAGTACATTTCATTTAAAGATTATAAAACTGCCACTGATTTTGTAATTTTCAAATTGTATCACTGTGTGGTTTTCAGGAGATGAACCTACTCTTACAATCCTATGCTAATTTGCTCAGCATGAAGCATGTGTTTCCCCACCCTGAAGTGTGAAGAAGAGGAGATTCATGGCACTGCTTCTCATGCTGCTTGTTGCCTAGTTCCTCAGACATTTTTGAGCAGCCACCGACCCAAGCTTGGCCATCCTCTGCTGCAGCATCACACATAAAATGCCACAATGCAGAAAAAGCAACTCTCCAGGTTGCTCCTGCAAGATGCCAGTTTTTTGCAGACGGAAGCATGACATTTGATAAACTCTGCTGAAATCAGGGATTTTTTTCTCCATTTTCCTTCTGATTAAGGACTCCTGATTTCAGGCACCAGAAAGGCCAGTGCCTGCCAGTAGGAGGCAGGTGGATGCGTGCACCTTGTCCTTGCTGAGGTTTCACATTTGCTGGTAATGATTATGCATTAGCAGAGCTCTGTAAATGCCTGCTAGACAAATCAGGCTCAGCAAAAGTGGCATGCACTCCCAGTTTCTAGGCTAGATTATTTTATCTTAAAAGTACCATGGAGGATAGTTAAGCTAAATTGAGCGTGACTTTTCTAGGAGTGTTGATTTTCCTAAATATGTCCCTCATCCAAAACTCTTTGCCTCTCTTGTTGTGAGACCTGTGACATGAAAGCTCATGTAGAGTGAGATTAGAAGATGAATTATTGTGTTGTCATGATTTCCCTTTGAACCCAAAGGGACTTAAGAGCACAGAAAGATGCTGACTTACACCGGATTTAACTGATAGTGAAACTGGTTTTAGATGCATCCTTGAGAGCAGGCTGAATCACCCTCTGGAATTGCCTGGCTCTGTTCATTAAACTTAGAGGTAGCTTGGATGACTAACTTGGACTAGACAGCTAACTTCCGGATGGCTAAATTAATTCAGCTCCCAACAATTTCAGTATGAACCAGCAGGTTTGAACTGAAATCTGCAGGTTTGATTTTGCATCATCACCTTGAGGGTTCTTGGCAGAAATCCAGTCTTTCGTCTCCTCTGAAGGTCCACTAATCTCAGGCAAGTGCTGCAAGAGGAGCTACTAAAGAAAGGTGCTTTCCTTAGCTGTTTAGAATATTGTAGAGATATTCTGAGGACGTTCTTAGAGAACCTGCTGATTTTTGTACCTCTCAACTGGTAGCACATAAACTACAGATGCAACAAACAGGGAAGTGGTGGTAATGTGGTTATTCTGTCTTATTTGCGTGTGTTTTTCTTTAAGCCAGGCTTCAAGAAGAATAAATAATTGAAAAAATATGTATCTGAAGTATGTAAGGGAAATTCATCAAGAATTAAGAGTTTTAAGAAAGCCTTATTTTGATTTCATGTATGATTGAAATATGCATTAATCTTAAATTATTGAATTATTGCCTTTCTTTTTTTTTTTTTTTTTTTTTTTTTTTTTTTTTTTTTTTTTTTTTCCCAAGGAACTGCTTAGGAATTAAACCAATCAGACAATATTTTAAAAAGTTAAATCTGAAGCAACAGATTTTCTATGTTACCATGCTATTGAGTGTACTGGATGTGAACAGTGAATATTTATTTATTTGTTTAGGTGTTTTTTTGTTTGTTTGGTTTTTGTTCTTTTAGTTATTTCAGTAGAGATTATTTTGTGCCACAGTTATAATTTCTGCTTAATTTGTGTGGGGCAAAGAAATCTCATAAAGATTCACAAGTCTCTACAAGACTGTTTGACAGGTTTGCACATAATTTGTTTTATGACATGGAAATTCACAGTGGTCAACTAATGGTAAGTATTTCAGATGCATTCACCTGTTAAAATATGCTGAATTTTCTCGTTTCCCAGTTGTCAGAATTTACAGTGCTAAGTCTTCAACAAACTGAAAGAATGTACGAGCAGTATTGAATAAAAGGAAAAAAATGGTGAGGGGAACTGTTTAGGGAGGGAATGAGAGGAAAATGACTATTCCATAATGAAAATTGTCTCATAACATATATTTTACAGGTCAAAACTGCTACTATTGCTACGGAGAGGAATGGAAAAACAGAAAATAATTCCATGAACATTAATGCTTCCATTTATGATGAGATTCAGCAGGAAATGAAGAGAGCTAAGGTGTCTCAAGCACTGTTTGCAAAGGTGGCAGCAACCAAAAGCCAGGTAAAATTCATCGGGCGCAGCAGCCTTACTTTTCTCCCCATTTATTTTTGAGCTGTTTCTGTGTAATTTTTAGTGACTGGCTGTGGGTTAGGCTGATGGCACAGTGCCACAGTTTGGAGCTTCTGTAAGTCCCAGGTAGGGACTGGATACCTTTTATTCTGTAGTTAGGCAATTCTGAAAGAGTTTGTTTCATAAACCCGTAGTTGATATGGACAAGACAAAAGCTGTGTTCAGTCCATCTACAGTGGTGCTAAAGCAGACACAGAGCTTTGGTATTTTGCAGTTCTCTGTGCTGTAATGAGGAATGCCTACGTTCTGATTTTTGCTCAAATGAGTCAGAAATGGGGATCAGTGAAGCAGACCCAGTTCTGAGGATGTGCACCAGAGGTGGGGCAGAACTGTCTGTGTATAGGAAAGAAACACCTTACAGTCAGACCAGTTACATCTAAGAAAGCTTGTATAGTCTCTGTGGAATAGGATGGCTGTATGGATACCTGTGTGTGCATACACACTTATTGTACATTCTGTTTTAAGCCTTTGTTGTGTGGTTTTCTATCCTGCTTTCTTTAACTGAAGTATTTCTGTCAAGTTGAGTGGCAGGAGAGGGAAATCAGTGAGCACTTGTTGATGTGATTATCATAAGTGACATGTCCTCTGAGAAACATCACTGGAGTATGCAGAAGGATCGATGTAACTGAGAATGTACTCAAGATGCAAGTTAAGAAAACGTATAGAAAAATGGGTGCAACTAAAGCCACTGCTATGTCAACACTTGATAGAAACGGTTAAGACACCAGTGCTTGCAATCTTAAATTTTCATGTCAGATTAGTTATTAAGTCCAGGCAGTCACTTATCCTGTACTTTTCTAAAGTTTCTTCCTAGAAAACACAGCATCTTCCAGGGTAAACTGTCAGTATCAGTTAATTGTGCCTTCATTCTTGTGCTTTCAGCATTTCAATGTTGGCTTTCTTTTTAATTTTATTTGACCTTTGACTTCTATGATGTTCACATTTTGGAATTTATTCCATTTCACTGTACAAAAAGGTTGTTGTCTCTTAAGTTATATGTTGTAAGGAGCATTTAAAGGGATAGTTTGGAAATGTTATATCAAAATGATTAAACTCAAGCTGTGGACTGTAAAAATTACAGCTTTATGGGCCACATGCCTGCCTACCCTTCAATCACTGTCAAAGTGATAATTTCTACAATAATATGTTTCTTTTATTGTGGGATTCTAAACACCAAGTGCTGTTTAAACATTAAACTGAATTGTTTATGTTAGTGCTGTACTCAGTGTGTCATACATCAGGCCACTATAATCTCCCATGGAATGTAAAATTTCTGTCATGAATCATGGCTTGTATATCAGAAATTACTGTAATTTTGATTGGAAATTACAGGGCTCTCGAAATGTTTCTAATTATGATAGAATGTTACAGCAGCTCCCAACCTGTGTGCTCCTCAGATGTCTTTATTTACATGTCAAGACCAGGGGCTGGAGAACTGTCCGTTCTCTACACCTTTCCCTTCCCTTTGCTGTTCTCCACAAAACTAAGGTATGAATCTCAGCTGTTGGTCCATGTTCTTTTGATCTGAGTTTGTGTCTTACTGTATTTATTTTAGGGTGTAATCTTAAAATTTCTAGCTGGAAGAGCTCTTCCAATTCTGATTTGAAAAGAAACAGTTAATCCCTTTTAAAATCAGCATTGGAAGAACAAAAGCTTCCAAAGGATGAAGTAGGTTTTTTTTTTTTTTAGAGCATTAGTACAAAAACTTAGAATCCTGTGCAGATTGTGCTACTGGATATACTGAACAAACAAGAGAAAACAGTCCTCTTCCAATTCATTGTGGGGATTGTCTTTATTTTCAGAGATTGTTTTTTCTCCTGTATTTAAGCAAAATAATGTTAATTTATTTATTTAGCAAGATCTCAACACTGTATTTAGCCGAAGTGCAATTTTATGAAAAGCTTGCTTCACAGAAGTAACCTTGTAGGTAAACTGAATGTGTTTGATCTTCTCTTAACAGTTGAGTACTAGTCAGATAATCAATATTTATAAAAAATAATAAATAAATAAATAAAAACAAAAAATGTAGGAAAGCCACGTATAGTAAAGGAAATCTGTCATGCGAAAAAATCTGCATTGAAGCTTGTCAATAGTAAAGAAAAATATTTCTAGGGGCAAAGAAGTCTCTCTTGCATGAACTAGAGGCTTGTTCAAACATATTCTTTAACAGGATCTTATGGTTCATTGTTCTCTTTAATTTGAGGATACTGGTTTCTCACTCCAGAGTGGAGAACCTGGGATAATCACTTCCAGTTATAATACAAAGTCTGGAGAAACACATAGTAGAAAATTATGTGTTGGTTAAAAATTTTCATTTTTAACCTCACCAATGAAGAATGAATATTATTCTTCTCTTGCTTTGGATATAGAAACTTGATTAACTTGATTAAAGTCCTGGGTTATAGCACAAAAGAGTATGTGACTGGAAACAGTGTCCAGGTGGACAAAGATAAAAGTTTGCTGGAGGGCTTTATTTTTATTTTTATTTTTCCAGAAACTGTTTTTTGTCAGTATTAGATTGGGTGTCTAACTAAGCAGCTAGCATCTGCAAGGTGGCTGGGCTTGCCTGAGCCGGGAGACTGCAGATAATGTTCTGCTGAGTAGAGCACTTTGAACAGAAGGGCTATTAAATGATGTGCTACAGAAGTTTCTATTTAGGTAGTGCCGAGGTAAAAATCAAGCATCCTCCCTTGTGCTGTGTAAGTGCCTTTGACAACAGTTGCCTGGTGCACTGGGGGCCATGCGTGGTCCTCATATTTGACCTGGATGCAGCAGAGGTCATAGCACAAGGATGGGATGACGGAAGCAGGAAGAGATTGCAGTGTTATCAGTGAGATCATGCTCTGCCCTAGAAGAGTGAGGATTTGCATACTTGCAGTTTCACAGTGTACTTTGCTGCCGACTCAGTCAAAAACTGCACTTGGCTCTCCTGAAAAAATGGATTTGAATCAGTTTGGGTACTTAGTCAGTAGGTTCCTCCTGGTTGGATTCTTCTCCGATATAGCAATGCACACAATCTGTATTTCAAAAATTTCTATATATTTCAGGATCAATATCTTATCTTATTCAGATTCTGTTAAAATCAAAATACATCCCTTAAAAGTTACAATGTCCATACTAAGAAGCTGAGCAAGATAATATTTCAAATTACTTAAATACATACTATCTTTTGGGGGGTTTTAGAATTGTGATCTGCAAAACATCTACTGTCAGTATTTGAAGTCTTATGTTTTTATTGCATTTGGTCTGCCTAGTAGGCCTACAAATTTTTTGTTAGGTTATGTTGAAAAGAGAGCTTTAGAAATGAAAGACTGAAATGTTTACCACATTTTGTTTCTACTCACAGGGTTTTTTAGTGGAAGAAGGGTAAATGCTAACAATATTGTTTGCTAAAATTTAATCAGCACACCTGAATAAGTCAAAACGAAAAGAATCCACACAGAATTTTGTGTAGTATGCATTACTTTTAGAATTTAATCACATTGGCATTTTATTAAATTTATTACCCAACAGTCTGATTCAAATAATTCTGAGAGCACATTCTTAATTTCGTTACTTCAAATAAAAAAAGTTGATTTGTGTAATGATCATTAAGGCATCATGGTTCAGTAGCTGTGCATTGGTTACAATGTTTTCATGTGGGAGCCGGCGATGAGGGGGTTTTTTGATGGTGACAGATGCTGAAATCTAATTCTATTCCATAAAAACAAACAAACAAACAAACAAAAAAAAACCAAAAACCCACAAACCTAGGAGCCTCGAGAGATAAGGGAAGTAGAGACTTGTAGAGCTCCTGTATGTTTGCTATGTTTTGAGAAGTAACTTCTATGCCTTACCCTGAAAAGATAGTGTGAAGTAGGGAAAAAAAGCAAAACTTTTCTGAAAATCAGCTTATGTTGCTAAATCTTTCTTAAAGTTAGGAAATTGCAATTTGCAAAAACTGAGGTGATACCACAACTTCCACATCTCTGAGAGTCCTGTGGGCTGTAGTATATAGCTGTTAGTTTGTATTATTATTCCTAAATAGGTTTACTGCAGAATAAATAGGTAAAATGAGTACTCTTCTGCATCTGCAGTGCTGAAGATTACTGTGCATGTGCAAGTGGGTGTCACGCACCCTCTGTCCTCCCTGAATAAAAATGCCTGTGTGTTGAAGCCTTTGGCAGCTGGGACGCTTGGGTCTCCTACGAACATGTTCTGATTTTAATGTCAAAATAAAACCAATAGATTATTAGCCATAATTTCAGAATCCTTATATAATTAAAGAGAGTTTTGACCCGTTACTTTTAAGCTGTTGCACAATGTTGCCTAATTTCCTGTCCCTCTGTCCCTGGCTTTCAGTTCTGTTAGGCAGTTATACCCTTTGCAATGAGCAGTTCTGCATGCAAAGCATGGAAGTACATTGTTTTAGAACATGCTATAGATTCCACCCTAAGCCATCACACAATTATTTTGTGTGGTGAAATTCTATGAGTAGTGTTTCATTCTGGCCTTAGTATTCACCTGGAATTCCCTCCTCTGAAGCTGTGCCTAGGAGGGAGCACAGAGTAGGGACTGAGAAGAACATCTCCCACTTGTGAGTAGATTGGAAGGAGTTAAATGGGAAGGGAATGCTAAACATTGGCACTAAAATTGCTTTTGGTGTGCAAATACTGTGCTTTTCCTGACATAAATATTTTCAGAATAGGCCATTAGAGTTCAGGTATATAAAACTCTGCTTTTGCTGGAAATTTTAATGTTGTAGTAAACCCAGAGATTTATAGTGAAAAATTGATGTCTGTTATCTCACTTTTATCTTTTAACCAGCAGTTTTATAAATGCTATATCTTTGATCTGGCTTTTTCCATCTAGAGACTAAGCTATATACTCTAATAGGAAAGTCATTTTTAAACAGCTTCCCACATTGAACAAACACGGCACTGTGGATCTGG